GAGCACGGGGCACAGGGCTGCGTCCAAGCGGGTTTTAAAGATCTCCAGAGAAGGAGACTCCACAACCTCTCTGGGCAGCCTGTGCCAGGGCTCTGTCACCCTCCCTGTCAAGAAGTGTTGCCTTAAGTTCCTGTGGAACTTCTGGTGCCTCAGCCTGTGGCCGTTGGCTTGTGGCCTCTAGTCCTATCGCTGGCCACCACTGAAAAGAGGCCGCCCCCCTCCTCCTCACTGCCTCCCTTGAGGTATTTATACACGCTGATCAGGTCCCCCCTCAGCCTTCTCTTCTCCAGGCTGAACAGGCCCAGCTCCCTCAGCCTTTGCTCRTAGGGCAGATGTTCCAGGCCCCTGATCATCCTGGTAGCCCTGCGCTGGACTCTCCAGCAGCTCCACATCCCTCTTGTACTGGGGAGCCCAGAACTGGACACAGTCTCCAGATATGGCCTCACCAGGCTGTGTATAGGGGGACACTTGGCAAAGCTAAGTGTCAGGGTCCTGTTTTGCTCTATTATTAGCAGTGATTCCATGTTCAGGTTGGGTGAGAGGTACCAGGCTGAAGTTGGAGGATTCTGGCATCAGTMCTTAGCAAGTGCAGAGGAGCTGCCGTGACACGTCTGAGTATTGGCTTAGCATGAGAGGGCCAGTAGGAAYGGAGGTGCTGGGCTGCAGTGCTAAACTGAATAACCTTTGAGATAAAAGGTGCATCTTGGTGGTCAGGTTGATAGGAGGTTTGGAAGAGGTGGAAAATGTCAACATGCAGCAAGGAAACAGTTAATTGTAGTGTTGAGGCGTTTGCTTCAGAAGCAGATATTCCTCCTGAATAGCACAACCRGGTGGATGTCATGCGTGCGCAGAAAGGGGCCCTTCGAGATGTTGTTTTCCTCTTTGTACTCTATTTTGTTGCTGCTTTGGTGCAGCAATTGAGTGTCTGCTCTTACAGCTTTTTCAGTTCCTTTCCCTGTTGCCTCTCAGATGAGTAGCAGCCTCTTATCTGATTTCCTGGGAAATTTATCGGCTGTGAACTGGCAGTCATGTTCTGTACAATCCCCGGCCGTTCATCGAGTCGGACGTGGGCGGCTGTCCGGATGCTCAGCTGCTTTTCCAGGTCTGCGGTTTATGGCCGGGCTTTGGTGCCCAGAGAACTATCAGGGGACGAAGGTGTCTTGGAGGAGCTGCTGTAGTYGCTGCTGCCCAGCCCTGTCCCGCCGGGCAGCAGTGGGGATTTCCAGGGAATCGTCGCGCTGTTTGGCAAACGAATGCAGCTTCCTCCTGCTTGGCTCTTCTGCGGTCAGGTGTGTTTCTTCTCTTGCCAAGGGAACTGTTGCACATTAAAACGTGGCCCAAAGTAACAGTGAGTTGCAGCTGGGATCACCGCTCCGCACCTGGACTCTGCCAGTCCCCTTTGCAGGCTCTGGTGTTCATCCGGCAATAGGGGAAGCCAGTTCAGTACAGCACAACAACARCAAGGGTTTCTTCTCTGCCAGTTTGGCAAAGCAACGTGTTTTAAGGTGGGCGCAAGGAGGAGACCAGGGACTGTTCAGGAAGGGAAGTGGGGTCTCTCGGCTTGGAGAGTCAAGAGATCTCTGTCCCAGAARGAAGAATCTGAGGATTGACTGATGCTCTAAAAGGACCTGTGCACTGAAACCATGTTTGAAATGTAAAGTGAGGACAGAGCATTCTTGGCTTTTCCTGGATACAGCGGTTTGACTGATCATTATTGCCCTTTTTCTTCACTGCTTGTTCTTTAAGAGGGAGAAAGAGATGCTGATCTGCGCGTTTTGGTCTCATGTTGTCCTAGAATTCTGCCAAATTAGTAGTATCGGATGTCAGAGTACGGCGATTGCTGATGGTGTGAGATACCTCGCCACATGCCAGACCAGCGGTGGCTCTGCAAGAAGGAACCTGCTTGACTAGAAAGCAAAAACGTGCTTGAAGAAAGGGCTTCCTGGTAGCCTTGCGAACGCCCGTGAACAGCTCATAGCGTCTGTAATTACCTGTGGAGGATCTCAAGCCCGTGTAGCGAACAGAACGATCCATCCGTGCTGGCCGTAACGTTGCTTCCGCGCAGACCGGGCAGCGAAGGAGGGCAGCTTCCCTGTTGGCCGCTATATATTGTGCTACACGCGCTATACTGTGATATATGTAACCACTGTAGTAGTGCTAGAGGCAGGTAGAACAGGGTTGGGTTCAGCTGTGCTTCCTACCGCTGCCAGAAGGCAGTGTCCGCACTGGAATGGGGAACGGGAGCGCTGCGTAAACGTAAATATTTAGCACCCTTTCCTCAGCTGGTTCTGGGCAGGGTTTCAGCAAAGTGACGTCAGCTTGCTCAAGCCCGTTATCAAGGGGCAGCTGTCGGGAGGCATGTGCTCTGGGCTGGCAGCACGTAGCAATATGTAAGGGAAAAAAGCACAAAATAGCTGTGTTTTTGTAATGGCAAGTGCGGGTGGACCATGATTTACAGTTTCATGGGGAAGAAGGATTTTTATGGGGCTTGGGAGGATTGTTTTTTTGGCCTATAATTTTGAAGTGCTTCCTTTAAAGTGCTGCACTTGGCACTTCCTTTGCTGCAGCCTGTGCAGAATAAATAAATGTTGTAAATTGCAGTTCAGTTTGGTGGATAGTGGGGCGTTCTTGGTACTCTTGGAAATGCAATAAGGAGGAGAAATGGCACTGCCCGCAAAGCAGCTAAAATGTAATGTGTGGTAATAAAAGTTGGAAACAAAAAGGTAGTTACTCCATACTTGAAAGTTTTAATCTTATTTTTGTTTCCCTTCTTATTTTAGAACCTTCTGCCCGTTTGCCAGCCCCACAGGGTGTGATGGTTTATTCCTATAACTTCCGTAGCTCGTTGAGATGGTCTCCTGTTGAAGTGGATGGAGGGCCGCTGCTGTACACAGTACATTTTAAAACGTAAGTAGATAGTTCTAAAATAATACGATGATTTTAATACATTAACAGAATTAGCATTTAAAAAAAGCTAAAAATGGATAAGCATACAAACAGAAAAAAAAATGAGTTATTACAGCTGTTTATTTTCATGTATATTTGCAGAGAGTTTCTCAAGACTTGAGAATTCTGTGGTATTTCCACATAATAAGAGAGAAATAATAAGTATTTCCTCTTTGTATGCTTTTTTCCCCCTGAGTCTGTGCAGAGGGTATTTTTCACGGATGCAGTGGATGTTGTAGCTTGTTCTCAACTATGTTACAAGCCCAATATTTGGGCTTTTATTTTCCCCGGTGCTGCTGCGAMGCACCCAAGAGCACCCAGTAATGCAGCTTGGATTCCTGACTTCCCTCTCCCAGTTCTCAGCTTCCCTAGCTGCTGAGAGGGCAGGGGATGAAACCCGCGTGCAGGCGGCAGCCTTGCAAGGGCCTGCGGGACAGCMCTCGGCTCAGTGGGAGCGCCCGCATTTTGGAGCCTGGGTGCTTGTCCCCTCTTGCTGATGTTTGGGGTGTCTTTTTTTGCCTCGCAGGGCAGCCTTTAACCAGTGGGATGAGATGAACTGCACACGGATCAGTGGGACCGAATGCCGCTTCCCGCAGCTGCTGAACGAACGGAGCTGGACCGTCACGCTGCGTGTGAGGGCCGAGCGGGGGCCGGCGGTTTCCGACTGGGTGCAGTCGGAGCCCTTCGTGGCAGAGAGAAACAGTAAGTGCCCTCTGTGACTGCAGGGAGTCTCTCCAAGAGATTTCTCTGGAAAAATGTTAGTTGTCCGTTTGAGGGTATTTGGACTGTGGTGCGCAACAGCCGAGGGAGAGAACCGTGGCGGTTGCTGAACAAGGGCTGCAAAGTCTGCGTGTGTCACTKCAAGTTTGATGCTGCTCGCTTCCTCTGAGGTGGTGTCAGCCAGCAGCTCTGCAGCGCTGTTAGCATCTCCCCTCTCAACAGGAAGAGGGATGTGTTACCAGTATGTGTTACCTACTGGTAAAACAGGAATTCATTTGATGCCAGTGTGAACGTGCGCGCTGCTGCTCTTGGTGAAGGTCTGCTCTTTATGTGAGCGGGGCCGGCGCCGGGCCTAGGAGGAGATAAGTGTTGAGTTAAAAATGCCTCTTAAATAATCATGAAGCAGAGGAAAGGAGGTGCTAACTCTTTAGTTCAAAATGTCCCTTTCCTTGGGAGGAGCTGTGGTGGTGACCTCAGTTCTAAGTCTTGACTTTTCTGTAAGCAGTAAAGAGTGTGGGGAGGAATTGCCCGAGTCTTGAGTTGAAGGCTATACCTGACGGATCCCTAGCTTGCCTTGCAGAATTGCTTGTGTGTAGGGAAGCGGGGATCCTTGAGGGGCTGTGGGAAAAGCAAAGTGTTGGGCAAATGGGAACGCAGCCAAAGCAGAGGTTCAGTGGGGGAGAGGGCAGTTGGTGCCTCTCTGCTCGGAGCAGCGCTGGCTGTGTCCTGCTGCGGGAGCAGGACACTGTCCCGAGCCCGGGGCAGCTCGTTCCTGCTCRCCCCTCCACCGGAGCTCGTGGAGGAAACCCGCTGCTCCAGTGTGTGCAGCTGGGCAGAGACAGGAAGGAGAGAGAAACCCAGGCTTCTGTACAACCTGAAAATCACGGGGCTGTGTTTTTCTCTAAGCAACACAGGAGCGAGCAGCATCTGCTGGGTTTTGGTTTGGTCTTTTTGACCCTTTACAAGGCAACAGGAGCAATGATTGCACTCAAGAACTGACTCTTAGTGTTAATATCCTCCCTTCCCCAGCGTGCAAAGGGAGAGTGTTTGTTTTGATGCGAGGGGGCCTCCCAAATGCTGATAAGCTCAGCCTTGGAAAGAAGATACAAAGGATAAATGACTTGTGATCACAAGGTGACCTGCGATCACATAAATGTCTCCTTTCGCACTCAGTGATAATAACTTGCATAATGTTTTTCATGATTTAGACATCAGAGCACTTCACAAAATGATGTCATCGGTCTGTAGGACAGATGGAGAAATCAAAGCGGGGGAGAGTGGTGATGGGGAACTAACTGTTCCTGTTCCAGTCTGGTTTGACCCAACCAGAGAAGTGGTGTTAAGAGAAGTTGGAATGACGCGGCTGAATTTGCTATTTGTGAGGCGGGGAGAGGGAAATGAACAAACCGATATCACCATTAAGTCCAAATAGATACGGATGGATATTTRTTTAATTTCCAGGGAAAGCCATCTGGAAATGCTTCTTTCCATTTGCTCCCTAGATCTGATAAAGTTTGCAGTCAACTAGAGGAGCAAGTCCCCGTGCCCCCTCCTTCCTCCAGACAGATCTGTCGGTACTGAGCAGGTTGCCGCGCGAAGCGGGCCCAAGCCGGGCGCGCGGCCCCGCCGGCTTCACCGCTCGCTCTCTCTCTCTCTCTGTGTTTGCAGCTACTATCGGACCGCCCCGCGTGAGCAGCGCCGCTGAGGCTGCCTTCCCTCACTCGCTTCTCCTCAGCATCACGCCCCCTTTCGCCCCGAGGCCGGGGGAGCTCCTGCAGTACCGCGTGTCCTACTGGGAGAACGCCACTCGCGCCACCAGAAAAGTAAGAGCTCTGAGCACGGGGCTTGGTGGTGGTTGTTGGTGCCTCTCGRCACCGACGGAGCAGAAGGGAGGAAGGAAGGGTCGTGTCCGCTGGGCTTTTTTCTAGCAGCAAAGGTCAGCAGTTGGTGGCATGAAGAGAAGTTCATCTGGTCTTGGCTCAAGCACTGCATGTGTTACTAAACTTTAAAAAGGAACTTTTTTTCCCCTCCATATAAAAGCAAGGTTAAACCTTGAGCAAAGGAGAGTGCCCCCAAAGTGCAAAGCTGCTTTGAAAGTGGCAGTTTGCTGTCGAAGTTTGAGCAATTTGGAAGACTCTGAAATCTTCTCCCTCCTTTCCTGTGCGGGGCTGGTTTGTGCCAGCAGCTTCAGGAGGTGCCTGCAGGGGCCTGATGCTGCCGGGACCCCTGGGGCCGGGAAGGACAGGAGTGGAAACACAACGGCCACCCCTGGGATGAGCAGTTGCCCCTGATCTAACTGGAACTTTGCCCTGGTGGCAAATGCTGCCCATGGGAATGGGCAAACATGCTCCTAGCAGACTAGCCTTGCAGGGCAGAAAACAAATTACATTAAAAATAAAATCATAAGAAGAGCATTCTAAAATTTAAAAAACAGAAGCAGAAAAAGTTTCATTTAAAAAATTTACTTTTTAAACCATTTGTCCCAAAGGGCCTTGTTAAATCTGAAAAGCCCCGACTTCCTTCCTCTCCTGCCAAAAGGCATGTTTTTCTGACACGTATAGAACACCCGCACGTTTGATGTTCAGACAAGAAGCCGCTCTGGTTTGGCAATTGAGGCTTGGTGGCTCTGAGACTTTTTACCTCTAAGGTAAAAAAAAAAAAAGAGTGTGGAGACCATGTTGAGAAGGTGAAGGTTTTGTTTGGTTGCTCAGCTCCTTTTCCTGCTTAGGAGGAAGAGACCTCACTGACCTAGTGAACACTGACCTGGTGTCAGCAGCCTGCGGTGGTGGGGACGCCTCTCGTGGCTTGTTTTTCCCTCTCCCTTCCTGTGYTGCTTGCACTGCCTGGGGTGCCACATTAGCAGCACCCAAGGTGTCCGGTGGGACCCTGGGGGTCAAACAAGACCTTGCAGCAGGTTTCAGGCCTTTGCTTTTTGTGTCCTTGTAGGAGGTTTTAAATGTTCAGGCTTCGTTTCATTTTAAAACAGTGACATTTCGAATGCCTTAAAATAGCAAAGTTGAAATGCACTTGACATGGTTGGGAAAGCTGAGAAATAAAAGTAAAATCTGTTGTTTTTTTAACTGGGAAACGTAGGTATTGAAAGGGGAATTGTACTGAACGCAACTTTTTTTTTTTCTTTTTTCAACAAATAACCTTTTCTTTTGCCTTTTAAACAGGAGCTGAAGACGAGCAGYTCGCTATTCAAAATTACCGACCTAAAGGAGTCGACGCTGTACTGTTTGGAAGTGCGAGTAGAGCTYCAGACGCTGTACTGCAATATCTCAGGCCTGCCCAGTGCCCCGCAGTGTTACAGTACTGCCCTCAGCGGTACGAGCCGGAGTTTGCTGCTCTTGTTTCTATCTAAYGCCACGAGTGGGGGGCATGAGGCTTAGATGGCCCCACGAGGGAGCGACACAAGCGTGCCTGGCAGGAGGGCAGCGAGGGCACCGCTGGCGGGACTTCTAATAGCAAAAGAACAAGGGGTTTTCAGTGGGCCTCGGTATCCTTTAAGTTAGTCAAAGAGCCTTTTAGGGGTATTATTGCCTAAAAAACCAAAACAACCTCCCCTAATACTTGGTCTTTGGCGAAGGAGACAGAGTTACTCTTGCAAAATCTCGCGTGCYTCCGTCACTGCTTCCTGCAGGAGAGGCACGTCCCTCTCCTTGGCCTGCTTCCCCTTCTCGGAGGCTTCTGAGYTTCGTGTGGTTGTTGCAGGGGTTACGAGATGGGGGGTGGGAAGGAGAAGGCTGCTCCAGAATMAGAGTTGCTCCTGCTTTCCAACCCCTCTGGCCACGGGCATGGATGAGACCTCAGCAGTTCTGCTTTATTTAGCTTGGGCAGCAAATTTAAGCTGCTTTACACTTTGCTTGACACGTGATGTTGTGCAAATATGACCCTGCTCCATTCTCTTTTTCTTCTTTTTTTTTTCCAGAGGCAACCACAACTGGATATGCTATACTAATATTTCTACTAATCTTGGTGATCCTAATTTTTGCAATAGTCGGCTTGTTTCTCATACAGAGATACCACACCACAATTAAATACTGGTCTCAGGCACCTTTCAGAATCCCCTCCCACTTTGAAGAGGTACGTGTAGACTTTCTCCTTCCCCCCATTCCTTCCCCCTGCACATGGCAATAGTCAGCCTGATATGAACGTAACTGAAACTGGTTGTAGACAAACAGAGGCCTTTCCTCAGCCTTTCATTTCGATACATCCAATTGCTGATTTCCTGTGAACTATTACTTTTATATTACATGATATTTCCCAKATTTCCCTTAACTGTATTTTTTTCCCCTTTCCCTGTAGTTTTATGTAACTCTGCAATACAAAAATCATCCTGTGACTTCTTTTTTTCTCGGTGCAGCTCACGCATTTCTGTACTAAACACTGTTTCAGTCTTCTTCAGCTTCCTCTTTTTAGCACTTACACAGGAAGTGGCCTTTAAGGAAAGGGTTTTTTTTATTTCAAAGTTGTTGTTCAGCGTATTTTCCATTTTTTTAAAAAGTTAGTAGTTGCTTGTGGGTTTTTTGAGGTTTATTTCTTGGCTGCCTATGTCTCTATGTTGGAGTAATCTTACACATTAGGCCAGTTTTTATAGAAATACAAGTGAACGGTGCCACACTTTCTGCAGAACCTTGAGCAAATCATTTTTCTCGCTTTGTATTTGCTTCAGTTTCCAGTTTATCAGGACACAGTGAAAACACCAAAATTCAGGTCATGGAAGAAAAAAAAAGTCCTTTTGCAGCACAGTAAAAGTGCATTTCATGCAAAGGACGGCCAGAATTAATCCATTGCCCCTCCTATTTGTTTTCCATTAGAGTCTGTAATTATGGTTTCTGGAGTAATTGATTGAATCTAGAGGAAAAAAAAAACCCACAGCAACAGTAGGTTCTGATGAGCAAGGGAGCCTGTTGTCAGGGAAAATAACTGCCAAGAAAATAAGTAARATCAGTAAATCCGCGGAATTTTCTAAGTATCTATTTTTAGAGGGGATCAGTGGGCCTGGGCCTTCTCCTCTTCAAGTATTCCCACTAGTACAAAACAGCCCTCATTCTAAGCCAGTTTCATACGTCCAAGTCCAGGCTTTCAGCTCATCACGTGGTTCCTTCTCTTAGAGAAGCGCCTGAGCTGGCAGAGTTACAGGAAACACTTCTAGCACAGGCCTTCCTTCGCCCAAAGCCAAATCCCTGTTCCCTTGGGCCAAAACTCATGCAAATGCCTGTATCTGAGGCTCTTGTATGAATCTTGACGAAGTCACTCTGTTCCCACCGTCCCTGCTATACGGAGAGCTCTAGCGCTGTCCTCCTGGAAAGCAGGGCTGATTTGTTTCCCTGCCACACATTACTCTGCAGCCCTGTCCCAGGCAGATTATGGTGCCTCCGACAGCAGGAAAAACAGCTTTGGGGAGGGATGTTTGCCTGCACGTTCTCCCTCCCCAGCAACAGGGAGGAAAGCTTTCTGGGTATTCCTCATGTCTTCACTTCTCCCGGGTCAGCGCAGTTCCCATACAGTATCAGCCATTTCCATGAATCCGGGTCGGACGCAGGTCGGCCCCCCTTGCCTCGAGGGGCTGGTAACTGTCCCGTCTCTGKGATTTCTAATGCACCCGCTCCCTGCACAGCCCCTAAGCTGCTTTTTCTGGCTTCTTCCAGTATCTGCAAGATCCSAGCCTGACCTTTCCCGAGGTGCTGGAGAACCACGTGCAGGACGATCCCTGCGACTTCCTCTCTGTGGTGTGCAGCGGAGAAGGAAGCCAGGAAGGCCCCACCAGCGCGGAGGATAAAGCTCCTTCCCCTGGCAGCTCCAGGGAAAGCGAATGAACTTTCAGGGGCGCCACAGAGAGACCCTCCTTCCCAGCCTTGTGGAGCCTCCTGCCCCCGAGCGCCGCTCAGCAGCTCCCGGCAGCGCAACAAGCCCTGGGCAAAACGGCGCCCGTGCCCAAGCCGGGGCCAGAGCCGGCTTCCCGGGAAGGGCGGCGGCAGCTCGGCCTTCCTTGCAGGGGCTCCTGCTGCGGCACGGAAGCACCTGCCTTCACCGGGAGACACCGACAAGGCGGCCCGGGACAGTGACAGGAACACTAACYAGTTGTGAGAGAGATGGAGTGGATGGAAACAGGTACCAGCAGCGTTCAACGTCATAAAGCTTTTTCCCTAGCTGTAAGAAAGCTTTGAAAAACGTGCACTTTAAGAGGTGATGCAACCTATTTTGTTTTTAGTTAAGTGCAGCATGGATTACTTTTTATGTGGATTTTTTTTTCCTCCTGTGGTTGCCTTATTTATGAATTCTGTTTTAGCATTCATTAGTCCCCTTTTTTTGACTCAGTTCAAGCACTTCTGTGGCTTCTACTTCTTCCCTGTAGTTGAAAATGCATTCTACAAAGAAGCCAGACTGGACTCGACCCTCCTCGGAGCTAACTTCCATACCAGCCACCACGCACTGCTCCTACCTCCCTTTGGGCCTCCAATGCAGTCAAAAGAAGCATTAATCTTTTGCTCCTGGGGGAAATAAGGCTATTTTTTTCTGGCAAAATGAACTCTAAAATAGAGTTTGCTCAGCATTTGTACAAAATGTCTGAACAACTCTCAGACACTAAAATCTTTTGCGGTCTYGCAACAAGAAAAGCTTTTTGGGGGGATCGCACAAAGCAGAAGCAGCAAGACCAAGCTCAGGCTACAACACCAAGGGCTATAAAGCAGAGGGAAAGGTGGAACCCCTTTCCACGGCCAGTAAAATTGAAGGAAAAGAATCTTCCCCTTTTGTACATAATAAAGATTGTTTTTATTCCACTCATGGTAATTTTTTAATGAAATAAAAAATGATTACGTGTAATTGTTCCCAGTTACTCTGAGTCAGCTCTTGAGGGACCTGCTTTACAGCCATCGCTGTCGATTTTCTGAGTTAAGCTCTTCCAGCCCTTCTGAGAAGGCACAAGCCAAGCCGGTGTAAAGGCACTAACATTAACGGAGCTGCTTCCTTGAAGAAGGAAGCCTCTTAATCRGCTGCCATTTCTTAGCATGCCCAGGCAGTGAGTCAGCTGAAGGCCGAGTCCTGCTTTAGAGCCGACAAGAAGTTACAACCTGCCTGGGAGCTGCGGAATCTCCACTTCCTCTTAGGTTTGTCCATGGATATTTTTTTTCCAAAACTGTTGTAAACAAATGTGGAAGCGCAGCCTCAGGTACACGTAACAGAGGCTGCCAGTACTGGCTTCCACATACAAAACATTCCCTGGGAATAATGACAGATGCAGCCTACAATTTGCTGAATAAACCTGGCCTACTAAGTAGAAACATAGAAGTCTTCTGTTTGAAGTGGTTGTATTAGATATTTCCAACAGTTGCACAAAGACCAAGTTTAAAAAACAGAACGTACACACCTTGTGGTAAGAGTAACTCAAAGTTTATCACCACAAGTGCCCACCATAAGAGGTGAAAGCACTCTTTAAAGTGAGCAATCACTGTCAACCTCATGGAACTGCTTACAGTGTCAAAGTAACCTGGGGACATTCTGAATAAACCCCGCATGGCTGTTGCACCAGGCTGCTTCGGAACTTGGGAACCTCCAAGTCCTGCCTTTTCCTCCCGCCTCCTACTAATCAGTAGGCATCACCAAAGCAACTCCCCAAATCCCCAAGCAGTGGCCAATATGCAGGCGGAAGCAAGCAAGTTTCTGACGCAAGATGCCGGCAACTCCAGCAAAGGGCTCCTCCCTGCTCTGAAGGGAAGGGTTTTAGGAGGAAGCTCCGCGCAAGCAGCCCAGGAGCCCTGCTGGACACTGACTGCCCCATGGGGTATCAAGGGGCAGCTGGCGCAGACACCCTCAGCGGGGCTTGGTTTCTGCCGTGCTCGTTTCTCACTCAGTTGCAAAGCCGATGCCCACCCTCACAAGCTCACCGATGGGAGCCCAACAGCAGAACAAGAACGTTTGGGTTTAATTATTAGCTGGTGTAAGACTTGCTTCAAGGCCAGCATGACTTGCGCTGTTAAATAGAGACTACTGCAAAGTTACCCTGTGACATTCGCACACCGCTTTGAGAACGTAAGATAAAGTTTATTGCCAGTTTCTGGAATTACAACCCGACAGACAACTCCTGTGCAACGCTGCAGTTGACACCAGTGAAGCTATTGTAACTCACTGCAGGGCGGTGAGGGCAGGAGAGAAGTTAGTCTAGCCAGTAGCACAATTTCAGCTGCAGTATTTGCTTCATATTCTGTCCACTGGAAAGATTCCCACAAGGGAGCAGTTAGATGACTAACAGCACACAGTAACCATGCACATAAGTTACAGCCTTTCGGGCAGTAGCACTTCACGGGCTATTCTGATACACAGGAAGTTATAAAAGCTTTCGGACGCAGGGGAGATTCAAATGCTCCAGGACCACATAAAACTCGGAAGGGAAGGAAGTCACCAACAGCAAGGTGGATACACAAGATCAGTCCAAAGCTACAGAATGTGCTCCCTTCCTGTCTRTTTCAGCCAGAAGAAACTGGACTTCAGTAACAGCTGCATTTCTATGAAGTGCCCATCAAATTTGGGAAATAAATAAATTTTAACTGGGGCAAGTGGCACTCCTAAAACTCAGGGAAGTCAAAATGCTCGGTAAGATCATTATTTTTTTAGAAGCACTACAGCAATAAAAACATTTCTATTATATCCCCACTTGAAATGCTCACCATTTCTATTTAAAAAGTCATACGTAGCAGAGTCACTTAATGAGCAAAAAGCTTTCCTTGAGGAAAATGTATGCTGGCCTAACATTAGACATGCTGGTCGGACTCTCTTTTCTTCCTTACGTCTCTTAACTAGCATCAGTTCCAGGGTTTTTCACTATTAGCAGATAGAGTAAATGCTTATTAGTGTCTATTGGAGTGAAGGGCAGGAGCTCGGTCCTGCGAGGGCTGGGCTGCTGCCAGACTTCCCTTGGGCTACAGCGGGCGGGRGTCAGCAAGAGCTGCGTCTGCCACGCAGGATCTGCCCAACACAGGGCCCTGTTCAAAAATTAAAGCTACTTTTGAGTTGTTCTGAGCAGTTAAATCCTTGAAAGCAACTTTCAAGAATGCAACAGAATTTACCGACATTAAGGACAGTTTTGGCTGGGCCCCTTCCCTAGGCTCTCTGCAGCTTCAGGTGACCAAGCAGCCCTTGCAAAAGGAGCTCGAGCAGGCCCATGCCTAAGAGTAATAAGCACTTTTATGGGGAACCCGCTTTATCCTGTTAATTTCTTTGTAGCTCCCCTGCAGTGGAAGTCTGGAAGTGTGGAAGGTGGATGGAGCCCCGTGCGCTTGAAGAAAGGAGCGTGAAGATTTCGGACAGCGAGCCCGACTTTCCCTTTTTAAGATATATACAGTCATATGTACATATTCACAAAGCGTTCCTCTGAAAAGAGGGAACTTCTTACAGAAACTGTAATTTGTCTCAGTTCGTATGATTGAGAAAGCAAAATGAGAACAAATGAATGTAAATGTATCTACATACAGAGTACAACATAGCCACTATGGAATAGACAACGCTCTCCTTGATCTCTCATCCCCACAATTCTTCTGTTCTTCCAAACTTGTAGATCAGGGTACTAAGGAAAAAAAAAAAAGTTAATATTTAATCAAGTCAGTACTTTTTTATATTTGTATTTCATGCTCTATCCATGGACTTTCCATTTCACGCTCTATCTAGGACTAACGTGTGGAGTTACAGAGATTTCAGATCTGTGGAGGTCTCATCCTGGGATACAGCAACCAGCTGAACACAGAGCATCGTGTTAGGATGAGCRTGTGAGCAATTAAATGGGTACGAGGAAACCAGAAAGAACACACACCCTGTGGTGGATAAGGCAAACTACAAATTACAGCTGGATTCCCAAAATGCCTTTCATAAGGTTGGATGCAGTTAAGCATTGTCATGGATCAAAAGAAATGTCCAAGGATCAAAATCAAGCATGATTTCCTTAAACTTTTTGTGAGGGATCTTTTTTCTTATAACCAACAAATGAATGGTAAAGAGCACAATCACACTAAATCCTAAGACAAGGAGTAGGCCGAGACATGAGAAATACTGATGCTAAGATCAATAAAAATGAAGTAAGGGTAAATAATACAGCATTTGGGCAACTCATGAGAGAATTATTAATAGAGCACATTACATTAAACAAAAAAAAAAAAAAAATGGTGGAATAACAACCAGGACTTACGCTTCAGCCCTGAAGCACCATTTAGGGAATATAGGTATTGTGGAGAACACTGATCAAAGACGATCTGACTCACTTAAAAGAAGGGGAATGTGCTCAGGACATGGAGAAAGGAGTTGCTGAGTGATCATGATCTAGCCCAGAGGAAGTGAGTCTACAGCACTGGGTGCAATTCACAAGTGTTACTGCTTCAYATAAATGGTGGGATAAAAACAAACTAAACATGGTTTTAAATAAATAAATGAATAAGTCTCATAGTTCATACCTAGATAATAAACTTAGCCAGACAARAACAACCAGGACTCCCAGGGGGAGCCAGTCTATCCGATCACTGTAGAGCATCTGATACGGTACTAGAAGGAAAATTGTTAACCCAGGGATTTATATGGATATGGACCTTGCAAAAGGGGAGGTTATGCCAAATTTTTGATAGTGGGATTGATTCTGCTTTCACTGTTTTCTCTTCACCCAACAATATTCATAGGTAACACATTACATTACAGAATGCACTAGAAGAGTTAGTATAGCTATAAAGAGTTTCAAAGTGTCTTACAACACACCGGATGCCATTATATAAAATAGTATTCGACTTAAACCCATTTCTGTTATGAAACACACTACCATGTTTGTACAAGATAATTTCATCACTCTTCATAACTGAAAGCTCACCTAGTAGAAAAAAAAATTAGGCATCAAATAAAAAGAAAAAAAAAAGATCAAGTCATTGGCTGTTGTCATGAAATAGTCCAGAAAAAAAGTCAGTAGGATCCATCACCTACTACTCCCTGGAAGCACTGCAAGGTGCTCGTGGTGCAGACATGAAAATCTTACTGGCAGTACCCTGAGCACTGGCAATATCTCACCCAGAATATTGTCTATATCCTCGGTCATCCATATTCTAGAGCTGCAAATCGAGTGGGAGCAGAAAGAGCTGCACTAACAGGAAGCAAGGGCAGGAGAAGAAGGGGCAAGTGAAGATTTGGCTCTTGGCACTGGAGGAAGCAAGAAAGCAAGATTGGAAAAAAAACAGCAATAGAGGGGTTTAAAAAAAAAAAAAAAGTAGTTTTAAGAAAGTCTGATTGGTTTATGAAATGGATAGTATCACATCAGTTCTCTGCCCAGTATCAGGCATGCTGGGGAGGGGTTTATTGGGTTGCACTCGATGATCTTGAAGGTTTTTTCCAACCATAATGATTCTGTGACCCAAGAAGAGTATATTTTATGTGCTGTTCTCCTCATGTAGGAAAGCTCAAGGTGGTAACAGGGAAACCCAGGGAGTGCCGCACGGAAAGCGGCAAGCTCATGTTGTCTAAAGACAAGTGTGATGTCAGCCTCTGGCTTTTAGCATCTATTTTCTAGGGGTACCTATATGTATGGAAACAAGCAAGTGTAATTCTCACTTGGAAAGAGGGAAAMGTACCCAGACACCTTACCTGAAAAATATCAATGCATTCTGGAAAAACACTGCTAATCCAGGGTAAACATTAGTGTCTGCAAGTTAAATGAAAAAGAAATTGTAAGTTCTTTTGTACTAAAATGYATATTTCAAAACATTGCCCATAGTATCACTCCCATGGTCTAACTACAAAACTACATGTGTTACTGCRAAAAGAACAGACCACATTCCCATTCTTTGTGTCTTCTGCCTCCCAGCTCACAACAGAAACATTTTTCTGTGTGTGAAAGTAAACCTCAGAACCAAAATACAATCCATAATATTTCAGAATGATTTTAGTCTTCAGAGAAGCCTTTTAGAATTTTATTTAAATACTTGTCATTAAAATACATACATACATACATATATATATATATATATATAAAAACCACAGGAGTTCATAACTCAGCAGCAATTCCTGAATTACAGTCAGTTACCTACCCATATGTATATGGGGATTTTTTACATATATAAAATACCTACACATTATATCTATATACATCTAGATAGACACATACATAATATATACATTTATAAATGTATTTTTGTCTGCCTAGGTACAAAGAGACACATATAAAATCCATACATGGACTGTCTGAAGGAGCTCRTAGTGGTAGTTCCCATCACTCCCTGAAAGCTATGCAGTAAAGAGCAGAGAATGGCCCACTAGATTTTCAGATTCAAAATGTAAAGCAAAAAATGGAAGAACTCCTAAACAAGGTGCTACATCACAGCGTAGGTATCAAATTGGGGCAGAGCACTTTGCATCAGGTGTGATGATCATTCTAGAACAGCAGCAACCCCCATCTCTTTATTGCAATTAATCAAGAAGGACACTTACTCTGTGTAACATATGCTCCAAAGAGAATCCACATTGAAGCAATAAGTGACCCAAACATCAGCATAAAGCCAATAAAGAGCCAGACACGAGCACCTGCGGGGAATATTTAAACCACTGAGAACCACACAGCACATTATCCATGACACACGACCCATTGCAATGCAGTGTTACCTCCCCGAAGGTGCAAAGGGAAGGGAYTGAAGCCGGCATCGAGGACAAGATAAATCAAATTTTGCTTCCTTTAACAGAGCAAATACTGGTTGGACTCCCAATGTTTTAGGGAGGAAATACTTGGCAGGTATTTCCACTCATCTGGAATGAAGACCTGTGGCACAAGCTCTAATGTCCATCATTTAATATAACTTGAAGGGGACTAACTAAAAGGGTCTCCACCAAAACTGCATCGTTTCTGAGGCTGGGATAGCCTTTCAGTAGGGTACAGAACACAACCCCTTCCAGTGTTTCCTTCAGGAAGGTATCTTCAGAGGGGTGATATCTAACGACCTCAAGTGCTAAATTTGTAAGGAAGTTAACCTCTCAGAAATTCACTCCTGCTCCTTGGATTCTGATTATTACTATCAGCACTTAAAAACAAACAAACAAAAATCTTTCAAATCAGCATGATTTGAAAGTTAGTTAATTTACCTGTCCTCCCTAAACATCCGTCACTGTAGCTGTCTCCTCTCACCTGCGCGTTTGACACAGCATTTATCCTAGAACAAACAAAATAAAAACAAACAAAAAAAGTGCATATGCTTCCATTCACTAGAAAATCATTTCAAAACAAAACACTAGCAGTTTTTAAGATGCAATAAATTCTGAGAAAATACTCAGCAAGTCTTTCCTGTAGAGTCACCTATTACTACACATCCTTAATGGAAGGATTCCAAATGGATTTCAAAACAGCCCCCAAAACCTTTCAAAAGTTTCACTTGAATTTTCAGATTAACAGACCTACAGGCTGGAAGAGCTTAATTGCTCTTTTTTGATTGAAATATTGATTGAATTGATTGAAATATTCCCAGTGACTTTTTGGTTATCTGTTTAAGTTTTTAAAACATCTAAGACCACTTCACAGGAGTAGTAACAGCCCATAACGTGATGCATTTGATTAGGATATAAGGTACTTTTTGGGGCCTCTCCTTCACAGTGACACCCAGATATTCAAGTGAGACACTCTGCAAGGAGAGACAATATGTCTTCTTAAAACAAGTTATGTGTCTGGGAGAAAAATAAAATAAAATAAAATAAAATAAAATAAAATAAAATAAAATAAAATAAAATAAAATAAAATAAAATAAAATAAAATAAAATAAAATAAAAT